CACTGAAACTCCACCTGGCTCTCCTATGTCTTCCCTGACCTGCTCCTCTCATAATAAAATAGTTTAGCTTATTTAAAAATTAAAAACAGTTAATACATATTTCAATAAATTAAATGAAGACCTCACCACAGCTTCTTCACCTTTCTTCAACATCATTCTAGCACTGCTATTCCCCTAAATATCTAAATAATATAATATAATATAATATAATATAATATAATATAATATAATATAATATAATATGTAAATACACGTTAAGTGGTCGAGTATGATCAGGTGTGGCTCTCTTTAAATAATAAAAAGGCTAATTTCGCTGCTGTTTCAGTCTCATTCTGATTAAATAAATCATTGTGACTAGACTAGCTAACTTTTAAACAAAGTTAGCAGTAAAATTTTGGACATGTGACTATCCCAGAATTAAAACGGCTTAACCTAAAAGATTTAGTTCTATATATGAAAGTAAACTGACAACAAGATGTTATAACCGAGCGATATTCATAGCAACATTCCTGACAGACAGTTTACCTCATTCAAACGGAGTTTCTGCCTCCGTCTGCTGCTGCCGTTACTCTGAGCCGTTCAGAGGGGGGAGGGGCCGGAAGCGCTCTACTGAATGCGCTGTTGTGCGCCTTCAAAATAAAAGCACGCGAGTGGAAGATTTAAAAATTCTTCACAACTGCAGTGAAATTATTGAGGGGGGAACGAATGTGACTCTCTCCAATATTTGGGGGGACATGTCCCTCCCGTCCCCCCCGCTTCCTACGCCTCTGGGTACAACACATTTTGACCAAAATGTATTTTCTGTTTATTTCTATTAAGAAGCTGTTTTTAGTGATTATTTAGAATTCATGTGAACGATTGCCTGACTTTGTGAAAATACATTTTAGTTATTTTAAGTGTTATCTTAATAAAATTAACTTGGACAGCAGCAGTTTCCTCCCTAAGGTCACTGCTGATCCATCATGGCATCACGTTAACCTGCACCAAGAAGCTCCAGATCAGTAAACGGCCATAAATCCTTATTTTATAAGACGATCACAGTTGAGGATGATCAGTTAATCAAGTGAACATAACTAGCACCATCTGGGTGCTACCTTCACCTCTTTACTTTGACGGAAACAACAAGATGTTCTTTACATGCTGCAGAAACACAAAATCTCACCAAGCACCTCTGTCAACTTTCTAGGGCAAATACAACTAACTTACAACAACTTTTTTAGCAATATAGAGGAGCTTGTTTTACGTAAATAATCCTTAAAATTGAGTTTCACTGTCAGATTATTTTAATTATAATATGGGATAAAATATCATGTTCCAAGTGAAATAATCTGCAAGTGGAAATACTATTTTTTAAATCAATAGTAATGAATTATTAACTGAAAACAAGCTGCGGTGTCGCAAATAAGTTTCTTGCAAGTTAATTTGGTCTTATTTCAAGTGTGTGAAGGTATGTGAACTAGAAATTAGATCAAAAATACTTGGTAAGATTTTGTGGTTGTGCAGCAAATCTTATGCAATCAACAGTACAATAAAAAAAATAGAGTGCACTCTGTTTTTAACATTCCAGCTTACTTTTAAAATATGTCCCAACACTTAGAAGTCTGAGCCTGATCAGTCTTTAAATTGAGAGGACAAAGCCAACAAGTCAAAGGAGGATACAGTGACAGCGTGAGATTGATGTGAGATTAAGAGATAACACTGCCAATGAAGCATTCACTGCAGGCTGCGGCCTGCGCTTCTCACTCACTTCTCACACAACTTAACTGCTATGACCTTAATATAAGTATCATAAGGACACACTTAACAGTTCTCTAGCACAAGGTAAACATCGCTATATAATGAAGGTCAGAATCCATACCGTGTTCTCTTCCAAAGTCAATCAATCTTGCTCAGATTGTTGATTGTCTTTGGCTCAGTGCCCTTTTAAGAAGGGAATAAATCAAGTGTAGCATAAGATTTGTATTTTTGCAAAAAAAAAAAAAAGCCTCTGAAATCTGTCATACGCTTGAGAGAAAACTTCCTTGAGAGGAAGAGAAAGTTTGAATAATAACCAAACTCACAGTTCCAGCAAGCCACAGTATTTCAACGTTCTTCCTCTTCTTTGTGACTACATTCTGGCCCAGCGTTTCAAGTAATTCCTTTATGTCAGTCTGTGTCTGAAAACATGGTAGACCTGTTTGTAACAAAACAAAACCCAGAGTCAGAGTTAAGAAAGCTCTGAACCAGAGGATGCATGCTGATAAAATGCCTAAATCCAATTCATGTTATACGTTTCAGTCTCTTCAGAGAAGTTTCTGATCCACTAAACAACAGTTACAGACTTTTCACCAAATTATTGCTCGTTAAACAAACTTTGTAAGTAAATTAAAGGAGGGATTAATAACACTGCAAAAACACAAAGTCTCAGTATTTCTGTCTTGTTTCTAGTGCAAATATCTTAGTACACTTGAAACAAGACAAAACTAATTTTTATCAAACTATAGGAGCTTGTTTTAAGTCAATTATTCCTTCATATTGACAAAAATAACATACTAGTTTCACTGGCAGATTATTTCACTAATAAGACATTTTATAAGTGAAATAATCAGCCAAACTAGCACTTCTTCATCAATATTAGCAATTATTGACTTAAAACAAGTTCCTTTAGCTGGATGGAAAGTTACTTGTAAGTCGGTTTTATTATATTTCAAGTGCAAGATATTTGGTAAAATTGTGTGTTTTGCAGTGTGTAAAACTCTCTAAACATGTGCGCCTTCTGCTTCCTGTTAACTCCATGCAGTCAGAAAAGGTTTTAGGAGATCTTTGACACCAGCTGTTTTACAGTAAAACATGCAGTGAATCTGAATATCTTTAAATTTGTGGTGAAGTTGCTTTTAGCTTGAAAAATGTGGCAAAACATATGAGTTGTCCCTTACATTCTAGTGGCACCTTTTCTCTTAACGTCTTATAATAGGCTTCTAAAATCTCAAAGTTCTTCTGGTTTATTCTTTCTTGTAGAGAGATATCTCCGAACCTGTGGGAACCAGAAGGAAAAAAATATTGACAGAATTCAAGTTCTTTGACTTAAAAAGATACTTCAGACTTTCTTAAACATGGTTGTGTGGAGACACTAAGAGGAGACAATATCTATCTCATGGGAGATGAAAATGTCTTTTCTACTAAATTATTATTTCCCAGAGGATGGAGCTTCCTGCCAGGTAAAGTGGGGATTTTTCTGACCTTAAAAGGAAATTCAGGCTGGAACTGTTCATAGCTGTAATGCAACAATGTTTAGAAAGTTAAATGTGACTAGACATCAACTTATTTTGAAAAGAAGCCGCTAATGCGGATGTGACTGTAGTTTAGGAGTTTATAAAGTTGTATTCACAGACAGGAGACTTCTGTCGGTCAGAGCTGCGCTTTGACAAGCTGTCAAAGGAAAACTTGACCGTTCTGCTGGTAGGACATCACCTGTGCTCCCACTGACCATGAAACAAATTAGAATTACAAAAATAAATTCACTTAATGGAATCATGACAATTTAGAAAAAAATCATGCTTTTTGAAAAAAGGCTTTTATTGAAAAATGTGATTGGTTTTTAATGTCATCACGGGATGAAGCTTATTCACATGTGATTTTAATTACATTACTTATTTAATGGAAACACCACAATTGCAAAATTGTGTTTTATTGACATTAGCAGAATATCAAAAAGGAAACGCAGATAGTGACTGCTGATAACGTCTCCATGGAACCCCACTACAAAAACATTCAAGGCCTTAAATATTAGTGATTTAAACGGGTACGACATGCACTGAGGAAAACAATGACACCAATCTACATAACGATATCTAGGTAGTTTTATTTTGAATTGAAGATAAATTATCAGCAGCTATGAATATAAATGTAAGATCCTCTGAATAAAAACACGACAGACACTGTGAATCACTTGTAAAACGTCTGATATAGACTGAACTAGTTTGCATATTGATTAAAAAAGTGTGTGTGTGTGTGTGTGTGTGTGTTTAAGGGAGAAAGAGCAGATGCAGTACCTCTCAGCTATAGTTTGTTGCTCATTGATGCCAACGTTAAACAGAACGGGGAAAACTCGCAGAGGCCTGCCCTCCTTGATCTCTTCTGGCAAGGTCTGAAAAATCACTTGTGGTAATGGCACTTCGACAGTGAAGTGGTCTCTAAATACAATGAGAGAGAGAGAGAAAGAGAGAGAAAGGATCATTTAGGAGAAATTCAATAGGTTCTGCACTTCTGATGGACATAAAACCTTCAGGAAGTTGTAAATGTGACACCTGAGTAAGGTGTGGGCAAGCGCCGGAATAGAAACGGATGGTGTCCGTGCTTCAGAGACAGACATGAGTGTAATTGTGTGAAACCGCCTTTAGCACTCTGAATATTCAGCCAAGCAGCTGCAGCATTATAAAGCTACTTCTCTCCTATGTGGATTAAAGTTCACATAGTTCAGAAATGAAAATGACTTCCTCATTACTGCCAGTAGTCGACTGCTGAGTGACTTTCTTCCTTTTCTTGCTTTCATGCAGATTTTCTTGCTCTAAACATCTCATCTGTTAAGCTGCTGTAGGTTGCTACTATGCAGTTTTTTTTTTCATTTTCACTGATTATCCTTTGAGCTTTCTAGTTATATCAACAAAATAACCTCTTTTATGTAAAATACCCAGTAGGGGTTTTACCTTTATCCACATTTTTAAATATTATTCCTGTCAGAATCCTGTGTTGCTTTGGATTTCTCTGGTTTTGTAGTTTTTGTTTATTTATTTGCCTTATGTCTGTTTTGCTTATTTCAGTCTGCTCTCAGTTCAGGTATGTTTATTATTAATTCCTTATGATTAGTTATTATTTGTTACAGTTAGATTAGCTTTCCTCTCTTTCTCTCGCTCCTTGCTGGTTCTTTCTGTTATTCTCTGCGTTCCCAGTCTCCTTTTATATTTTGATTAAATAATAGATAATTTCATAATAGACCACTATAATCTGCTTGCATTTTGGTCCAACCTCATTCCCATGCCATGGTGGGTCCAATACTTCTGTTTCTTCACACATTTGCCACTTTGCCTTCCTTTCTCCCAGGAAGACAAAAACAGTAACATTTATTTATTAAGCTAAAACATGACTTGAAATTATGAGGTAAAAAAAAATAAACTATATATATATATATATATATATATATATATATATATATATATATAAATTGTAAATACTTCAACATAATCTTGTAAAATAAAAAAACTTGAAAAAGAGAAAAAATCTTACAAAAGCTTATTTACACATAAGGTGCGAAACTGAACAGGTGAGAAGGATGAATTTATCTTCATTAACCAAAAACAGGCTCAGGGAAGTAACACAGCTTATAACAAACGCTGACTGCAGTTGTTGTTTGTGAGCATAAAGTTTATCAGATAAGAAAGTGCTTATGCATTCACCGTCAGTAGAAAATGCCTTCTGACGTCCACACATCACACACTATAATTAGCTCCAAATGTTTTTCACTTCCACTGCTCAGAAAAGTGAAGGAAAGAACATTTGACTGCATATCTGTTTTTTAAATTCCATCCGCAGCACACAGCATTAGCTTGAAGAGAGGTTTTAGTGCTAAACAACGTGTTCTTGTGAGGGTCAAAAACACACTATTTATGTGAAGAAAAATGAAACTTGCACCACTGCATGACTTGATGTATAACAGGGAGGGAAAAGCTGTTGGAACATCTTCATACATCCCTGTACTTATCTAAATAACAATGCTGGTCAGAAGAAGAGCAGAGATTTGAAACTACCTGAATGGTACAGTGATGTTATTGTTTTCAAATTACAGTTTTGTCGTAAAGTAACAATCAGACTTGGAAATGGCTGCATTCAACTTTTCTTCTCATTTCCTTTTCCTCACTGGATAAATAACCAAATATATAATCTTTTTATTTTCTGCCTTGCGCTATGAAACATAACTTCATCACCTTTTGGCTTCTTTGTGCTTGGCTCTTTTTCTTCTCATATTTCTCCATGTAAGTCACAGAAACAAATGAGTATTTTGAGCTACAAGTCTAAACACAACTGAGAATAATAATTGCAAAGATTTTATGTATCCTTTAAAGCTGCAAAATGTAATTTTTATTAAAAAAAGTTTTTTTTCTCTGTTTGTTGAAACTGTCACCGTCTCCGTCTATCTGCACTCTGTCGGAAAAATCTGAAAAATTTAAACTCCTCTCCCTTCCCAGTTCTCCCAATGCTAAATAGAAACAACCAATCAGAGACAGGAGGCGGGTCTTAGCGCTGTCAATCACAATCTCATCCTCCATCCCGCTCACCTGCTTGGTCTCTGCTAGCACAGCCTATTGTGAATGCTCATGCTAGTTAGCATGGCCACCTAAAAATGGTTTTCCTGTAGCGATAAGTTGTTTCTCTGCTACTAGCACTTTGAGCAGCAAGTACATGAGGTTGATTGACAGCGCTAAGACCTGGCTCTGATTGGTTGCTTTTGGTTGGGAGCATTTCTTCAGACACTGACAGCAGCTCAGCGAGAAAGCAGGAGATTGATGTTTTCCCAGATGATCTGTCTCACAACAAACTGTCACAACATGGTGACAAATATATAAAAACATTCTTTATAAAAGATACATAATGCAGCTTTAAGATGCAGCAAATGTGAGCAAAGAGGTTATAAAATAACCAAACAGACATAAAGCTGTGGCAAGCAAAACATCACAATGGATCAGATTTAATATACGTTTTTAAGAAAAATCGATAAAGTAATGTGAACTGGTTCATGTTGCTACTACAAATTTAAGTCATAGCTTTCAAATAATGAATTCTCAGCGTGACCTAATCAGTTTTTGAGAAGCGATCGTTGATATGTTTCTCATAAAACTGAGTGATGCCATCGTCACACAAAGTGGCTGAACCTGGCAGAGTGCGAGGAATCTCACCGTCGGCCACAAACTGAAGGCTGCAGGTCACTGAGGTCATCCGCTTTGGCCTCTGTGATCTTGAATGTGACTCTCTGCAGGTCAGAGATTCCAGTCTCCATGTCCTCGAGCATCCCGATCTCTTCACCTGAAACAAAACATCGCCCAGGACTTCATCTCTGCTCCTCACCTTGTTTCCGACATTCAGTAAAATTAAAGGAATAAACAGCAATAAAGAATTGAGTTGTTTTTTTTAAAAATCTGTATTTGTTTCACTTTCTAAACTAATCTTCTTAGAGTTGTTTATCCTTCACCAGGAAGGCGTTGTATGAAACTGAATGAAGGCTTTGTGATAAGAACATTATGCCAAAACCAACAACCCACTGAGTCATCACCTTGTTTTTGTACATGGTGTAACTTGCCACAGTACTTTTCACTCATCAGCTTATCAAACTCATCACTCATCAACAGTTGTCAAACTAAATGCTTTTCTGCAAAGTGTAGAGCAATGACCTGTATTGAGTGGAGGTTTTGTGCTGCAGTGATTTACTCACTGTAAGTGCTCAGCAGGCTCTCGAACTGAGCCACCAGGCCGACGAGGTGGAGCTGCCTCAGGAAGTCTTTGTCCTGCAAGCCTGCGTACAGCCTCATCACAAAGCCACACGCCAGCGCTGCCAGCTGTCGACGTGCAACAACAACAACTTCAGACGCTGCTTTCATGCTTCCCAGCTCAGACAATACGAAAGGCGTTGCTGATTTGAACAGATAGAACTGAGCTGCAGACAAACAGCTCAGGTATTTATTAAATTATAACTAAACCTTCATGAAACAAAAGCCAACCTGGGGGAACAGGTGGGGGGCAATAAATCACATTTTACTGTAAATGTACTGGATGAGTGCAGCCACCTACTGCCTGACTGAAGACCACGTCTCTCCTCTGCTGCAGGTGGAGGCCTTGAGGTATGCTGCACGCTGCCTCCTGCAGGAGGACGAAGGTCATTGCTCTCTTTGCTTTCTCCACCACCTCCAACACACACTCCTTTAGTCTGGTCACCAGAGGACTCAGCTGCTCTCGCCAGTCACCTGCAGAGAAGTAAAAGAACAAACATTGAGAAGAGGGTCAGAAAGAGTTTAAAAATGAATCTGTTGGGATGTGATGTTTGGAAATGTGTGCTGAATGTCGGGCAAATTTGGAAAACTTCCAGTTTACAGGGAATATTCACATCAGTTTGTTCATTGCAGCGAACCAATCACAATGCTGCAGTCATGCTGCTGTTGGATGTCTGAGTAAAATCTGCTCAGTTTTTTATACACATGTATGGAAGTATTTAACTGCCAGAACTCAGAAGTAAATTTAGGAGCACGATCACGTCTTAACAAAAATGTTTCTCGTTACAAGATGCAAAACTTGTTAAAAGATAAAAGTTTGTCGTTGTGACGAGACGAGCTTTATATCTTGTTACACCAAGAAGGTTTTTCATTTTAAGGAAATAAAAATGGGCTCCTCTGACAGATTATGACTTGTAAAAAATACAGGGATTGCTTTGATTCCTCTTCTTCCTGTTTTCTGAAGACAACATCCAGAAACCCCAAACAACATGTGCTGCAGTTTTACTGTAATCACCATTTTTATTTAAGATATTTTGGTTTTATTAAGATATAAATCTTGTTTTGAGTTTTCTTGTTATAATGAGAATTTTTCTCATTTTAATGATATAAAAATATGCTCCTCTTATTACGACTAATAAAAAAAGACTAAGGGGTTTGCTGTGACTCCTTTTCATCCCGTTTCCTCTGACAATATCTAAAATTTCAAAGAAGTTTTGGTGTTTTGACGTTTTCTATTTAAGAGATATACTGTTCTTTTTTAAATGTCATTTGAACAACGAGTTTTCCATCTCGTACAAAGAAAGCTTTCATTCCTCACATATTATAACTTGTTAAAAAGGCTTAAAAAGCCTCACTATAAATCTTCTTCCTCTCACCACATTTCCTCTGCTACTGCTTTACGGTTATGATCTTTTGTATTTAAAAGAGAAGATATTTTGTTTTTAATGGCATACATTAAAACCAAACCATAGCAATTTTTTTTTTATCTCGTTAAATCGATAAAGTTTTCTCCTTCATGCAAAATTCTGATTCCTGAATATATTTCCAAACTCTGACGGTTGAACGCTTCTGTACATATGAGAGGTTTCTGCACCTCTGCAAGCAGTTTCAGCCTAGCTGTGAACGAAATATCGACAATCGATGCTTTCATAAATGTATTAACACAATGAAAGGATGGAGGTGAGGACAGCTAGTAGAGGCTGCCTTGATAGGCTTTTTTAGATTCAGTGCTGAACTGTGAGGCCCTGAAATGACTTCTGTAGCTTCCCCAGGTTTGCATGTGAAATCTTTCACTGCCATTTAATTAAGTCAGGGGTGTCACACTAGTTTGAAAAGAAGACTGTGATTCCAGTCTAACCTGTTAGAGTGCTGGTTTAGTCTGTTGAAGTGAAATGCTAAATTTTAAGGCATAAAAAGTCCTATTTCCAGTGCTAATATTAGGAATTACGTTAAAATTAGGTCAATATTTTGGCTGTTTAATAATAATAATAAAAAAAAAAAACATAAGTGGGAACATAAAAATTTTGGCACAGGATAACATTTACATCACCCACCCCATGTTGCTGGGCGTGCTTCCTAACTCTAGTCCTCAGGGCGCACACCTGCATGTTTCCCATTTCAACACACGCGATTTAAAGTAAATGTTTTTTTTTCAATCAGACTTCTGTGGAAATTGATGACTAATTAGTAAAGTATCTTTGCGGTAATTTGTTCCTTTGAAGTATGCATCCTGTATATGTGAGGGAATCAATCAATCAAGTTTATTGGTATAACACATTTCAGCATCAAAGCAGCTCAACGTGATTCACATCATGAAAAAATAAAACAGTCACCAATTGTACAACCAGTAACAGACATTGCATTTTGTCAGATATCATCAAGATAATCGACACACATCAAACATGTTGGTCAATGTTCCATTTATTATGGTTCATAAGCAGCTCTAAGCAGCCTTGATTTAAAGGCACTCAGTGTTTCAGCCGTTTTACAGTTTTCTGGAAGTTTGTTCCAGATTTGCGGTTCTGAATGATGCTTCTGCAGGTTTGGTTGTGGGGATGCAGATCAGACCTCTGAGAGGGTTGATACAGCAACAGCAGATCTTAATGTATTGTCATGCTAAGTGATTTATAAACTAACAACAGCATTTAAAGTTTATTCTCTGAGGTGACGTGTTCTGTCTTCCTGGTTTTAGTCAGAACGCCAGCAGCAACATCCTGGATCAGCTGCAGCTGGAGGAGTCATTGTTGACAGGTGGTGTGTTACTACAGACTCATTTATAGTTTTCCAAAACTGTCCACATGAAAACAAACAAAAACAAAAACACTCAAAATAATTATTAATTTACCAGCAATGTAGCCTCTGGCTTCAGCTGTCTAATGGTGAAGGTATTCCAACCAAACATCAACAAGAGAAACTGCAGCCTTCTGCAATAATAGTTGACCAACACATTTCATTTTTAAACTCCTCTGCAGAAGATGAACACATAAAAAAGTGAAATCTTACATATGGGAAACATGTACCTCTGTTTGGGAGTAAGAATAGACATTAATCTGAGGTTGTAATTCACTAATCTGAAATTTTATAAGGATTTGCATTCCATTATTAAAGACAGCTGGGTATAAACTTCAAATATCAACTGAATATATGGTCTTTTATATTCCAAAATCCTCCCAGTCTGAATTCAAGCTCAGTACATTCATGTTCTTAGCCATCCCTAATGAGTGGTCTATTGAGCAGCCAGTAGGGGGCAGTGTTGGATAGACATCGCCCAGCGTGCTGTAATCTGTTCAGTCTTCACATTTTAAAAAGTTCATGGACAAACACAGATGCAGAGTAAGACTCCCAGCTTGTGAATCACATCAGATTGGGCTCAGCCTCGTCGGAGAAATCTCGTTTCATTTCAAACGCCGCCATCAGACCGAAGGGAGAAAAAGAAGAGGAGGACAGACGAGTCCCACTCACCTGCTCTCAAACACATCAGTATAAACATCCACCTCTTCCCACAGCACTTTCTCACCAAAAGTCCAAAAATTACCCATGACAACCAGACGTTAAAGCCGTTATCATGATTCTGCCCACGTTTAGAGTTCACTAAGCAGACGACCGCCTGCTCTGAGGCAGCTTAGCATCTTACTGAAGGAGCTCTGGGGGCTGGCGGAGAACCAGGTGCTCTGGCCTTGTTCCTTGCACACATGCACCAAATAATAAAAATACACCAGCATTTCTATAGAAGCAGTGGAGCGACCTAAATGGAGAGATTCTCTAAAAGTGATGGTGTTGCCCTGGGTGCCAGCTGGCAGCTGCATCAGGGTGTCTCCCACCGAACAGAAGCTTCAGAGGATTTGATACGACCAGGAGGAAGACGAGCAGCTGGCTGTCAACGGGGAACGCGTCTGCATAAACTGAGCAGGTTGATTCACATTTTTATGTCAAAATTTAGCAGACTTCATTTAAATTTCTGTAATCCTTTCTGATTTATCAACATTATTACTACTAGTTCACAATGAATCTATGACGGATATTTCTATTTCTGGTCAGATTTTGAATAAAGAACCTGAATATTGATGGTTTAATGACAGAGATGAGTGGTGTCCAAACTATGTTTTTTTTTCTTTTTCTTTTTTTTTTTCTGGATCAGAAAACTTGAATTGACTGATTACGTCTCTGTAGAACATGATGACATGTGAAAACATGTAAGTCAACAAATTGAATCAGCTAAAATAGCTAAAGTGTTTCCAGAACAAGCAAGGCCAATAAAAAGCTCAAACAGTGTTGAGATGGGTAGAAAACATTACTAAAGAGCGAATAGTGAATAGTTTGAACTCTATCTGCACTCTGACAAATTGTTGGAAAAATGCAAGACCACTGCTCCTGTCTCCAGGAAGTGAAGACCAAAAATAGCCGACTTCAAGAGCGAAGTGTGTAATAATTTGTCAGAGAAACCGAGGGCAACTTCTGAGCAACTGGAAGCTTAGAAGTTCGGTTCTATCGCAGACACATTGAGACACAGCAGTGTGCATGGCAGGACTGCAAGAAGAAAGCAACAGCTCTTCAGAAGAAGTATTATAAGGTTCCCATGAAACAGACAAAGAGCTGCTGAAAAAAAACACAACTCTCTGGATGAATGAGACTAAAATAAAACTTTGTAGATTAAAGGAGAATTGAAATGTATGGACCAGGAGAATACGGTTTCATCTCTGGGAGTCTTTGCTGCTGGATTTGAAGTTAATCCACACTGTCACCACTCTGAGTTACCAGGGAAGTTAGTCCTTGAGCTCGCTGGGAAATGTAGTCCCAAGGTGGAACAGGAAAATGTTCTACATGTCAAGGTGTCTTTGGACCAGACAGCCATCCTGAAGTTAAAACCAAAATGCTTACAGGGGAATGAATGAGTGTTTGTGAGTGTGCATAGGCGAATTGTGTAAAAGTGCTTTAACTGGATCTGTAGAATAACAGGTTTAGTGTATGATTAACAGAAGAAGCACGGTAGGTAGGTAGGTAGGGGAATCCAGCAAGTGCTGCTGAATTAAAGCCACAGGCTCTCGCTGGGTTTGCAATGCTGAACATTGTCGCTAGGAAGTGCAACTTTGAATTCATAACACAATTGTCTTATAAGACCTAAGTATTGTGTTTATTTTAAATTAAAATACATCATATTTTGACACTCGAAACCCTAAAAGTCTTGAAAGTATAAAGCAAAAATGACATTTAACACTAAATAGTTTTTGTGGCAGATGAGTAATATTCATAGCACAACTGTCTTATGAAAAAGGCCTAGCTATGGCGTTGGTTTTATTTTTATTAAAAAAGGCAAGAACTGTTTATATTCTGGAGCTCAAAAACCCAAAACCTTGAAAGTATGAAGCAGAAAACACTGTCAGGTTTCAAAAGTTTCTCATGGCGTATAAGTAATAGAGTTAAAAAATCTAATCAGATTAATCAGACTGCAGCACTGTGATAAATCACAATTAATCACCATGCTTAACTTTGCAAGACTGAAATGTAAAAATGCGTGTTTTCTATAAAAATTTAAGAAAATGTTTTATTGTCTCAAACCAAGAATCTCAGTTTTCTGGGATTTTCTATTCACGGAGGTTTGGAAGAAGTTGTTTTGTTTAGAAATTTAGAAATGTTAACTATAAGCTCGTTGTGCTTCAGTGAAGATTAACGCATTAACATTGACAACTGACATTCATACACAATACTTTGAAATAAAAACAATCCCATGGAGTCAAACCTACTATATCTGCAACTTTTTATGAATAATAACTTCCTTGTCTGGAGTGGAAATTTGTTAAATTGATGTGTTGCAGCAGATGAAGACAACGCTCTTATTTTCCTAAAAGATCCTGCAGGAAATGTGGAAAAGCTTCATGTAAGTAAGTTCTCCTCAACTACCTACAGCAGTCTCTCAGTTTGCAACATTTGTTACCTGAGGATTATGAAATCATTGGAATCTGGGAGCAACAACCCACATCTGAAGGGCAAGGTGAAAACACACAGTTCATGCCATGGCAAGAACAGATTGCTCATACAAGGAGTCAGAAGCTGCAAGCAAGATATTTTACATTTAAGAAAATTAAGCCTTGATTTTTCTAATCATATTTGCTGTTAGTAAAAAAAGTCTGACGTCCAGAAATCATATAATTTGAGTCAATAACTGCTCAATGTAATCTTTCTTTTGTTTACCCATTGTCTGCAACACCAACTCTTTTTTTTCCTAGCGCCTGAGCCAAATGAATGAGAGAGTGATTGCATATCATTATTTTAGCTTCTTTTCCAACCACCACATGTGTGGAATTATCTTGAAATCGCGTTTTAGGGCCAGACAACACACTGGCATGAAAAAACTAACTGCAGACAGACTCAGAGTGAATTGTCAGAACGTTTTGACAGCTGTGACCACATCACATGTAAGACAAAGACTGTTTGTGTAGAAAACTGAGCCTTGCACAATTGTTGCAAAAATGTCATGACTTTTGATGAGAAAAACAGGAGTCCCGTGGTATTACAGTGAAAATGCTGGTCAGAACTGGAGCAGGAATTACAACTTCGACCTGAATTCTGCCAGAATTTGAATTTTTGGAATTACAGTTTTTGTTTTAGGCGTCGATGACCCTGAGAATATTTCAAACGTATCATCATCATCATCATCACTTTCAACTGCCTTCTTCATTGCTCTCAGCTAACCTTTTTGTTTTATGTCTTTTCTCAACTTTTGCACATGAACAAAATTACGAGATACAAACCAGAACCCAACTGAAACAGAAAACCTGTATTCAGTTTAACCCTTTACACACCGTAAACCTTTAAAGCAAAACGGCGTTTCACCTGGGTTGTGTGAGGTGATGACATCAGCGAGCTGTTGCTCCGGCGCTGGCTCTGGCTTGCTGTTGTCACCTTCGAGGAGTTTATCCACCATGGCGATCACACAGTTGAGACATTTGGCGACGTTGGCCCAAACCCTGTCCTGAGGAAGAGATCGCACAACCACCAATCAGGCCAGATCAGCTTCACTGATTCCGCTTGTCTGAGGCAGCAAGATGGAAAGAAAGCCAAAGAAATAAAAACAAAGAAAACGAAGCACAGCAAAAACTCCCTGTGTTCAACAGATCAAAAGGAAAAAGGCTGTATGGATTATGCTCAAAGCATTTCCTTTGTTTCTTCCATTTCTTCTCTTTATTCTGGGTTTCAGTGATGAACTGAGGCTCATTTTTCTTTGCGTGTGTGTTTGTGTGTTTGCATATGGGACCGGTGTATTTTTTGGAATTTCTTAGGTTAAAAAAAGATTCAAGTTGTTTAAATGCCAATAAATAATTGAATCAGTGTCTCTGCTGTCAGTGTGACAGAAGCTGCTTTCACAAATAAACAAAGTAGCCTGCATGCTCACTTGAGAAGCTGGCTTAGTTTCAATGATAAGATTACTACACAATAATCCTGCACACTCAGTTTGTCACAGTGAAATATTCTAATTCCTGGAAAATTAATTTCCACTAAAATGGGGGAAAATGTCCAACGTGTAACTAAATTTTCCCAATAATTGACATGATTGGCCGAAACAATGATGTCTGTTTAAAACAGTAAAAGCTCCTTCGTTTGCTCAGAGTTTTATGATTATGCTTATAATTAGTTTTATGATTATTATACAAGAAATAAACTGAAATTTACATAACATTTACTGTAAAATATCTGCATGATAGTTTTATCAAAACAATGTTTTATTAGATCATGCAGCATTGTGCAAAGGTTTTAAACCACCTGTAGATTAGGTTCTTACAAAAAGACTACTTTAGCTTTTTAAAGTAGTCTGGATATGTGAAGATCATTAAAACTTTTCCCTAAAACTGATTTTTGAATGGTTTTTTTGTCCAATCCTTATTCAAAAAAACAGTGTCTGCTAAACGTTTGGAAGCTAAATGTAAACTTTAAGACACTTTATCTACTTTTAAGAAGAAGTCTAATTTTTTTCTTGTTAATAAAACACATATCATTGCCTTTGTTATTCTGAGCCATTTCTGTAGTTATGGTGCTGTAGACCATTTCTTTAATGTAATATTTTCTCCTACTACTCTCCATTTGCACATTATTTGCAGTTCCTGCTGCCATTCACTTTAATTTCTGTTTTATTTTAATTGAAGAAACACTTGATGTTCTGCTTGGCTGCATCTTGCCTGGATGAACTTGTTGACTGAACTGTTTTAACTCTGTATTCTGTTCATCTCCTCATATAAAGTGTTTCTGTCTCAGTGATTCTGAGTTTAGATTTGTCACTTTTCTGGACAAAACCATTGATAGAGCCACATCTGGCACTATTAGTGTAAACTTCTGTTTTTTTCTGTCATACTCCTAGTACTTCTGGTCCAGTTCTTCTTTGTGTAGCTTTTCCCCCTGAATCAAGCTATTGACAGATCTGTTGCTGATTTCATTGCAGTTGGAGGTGACCAGGGTTTTCCCTCTCACTCCTTGCTGAGGAGGAAGGGTTGCTGCCAAGTCAGCTGCTTCATCTACTCTGAAGGGCTTTGTCGATATTTTTTTATTTACCCTTTTGCATAAAATTTGACTCTGTGTGTTATAATTTGAGCTGAATCTGGCTGTGTGTTTAGATTCTACTGGAATCAGTTGGATCTGAACTGAATGCTGGACTGTATTCGACTCCATTTAGTTAAATTCAAACTATTTGTTTTCAAAAGTGCCTTGACATTAGATTTAATGTTAACTGGGTATTTATAAATAACCTGAACTAAATTTAATTGGATTAATTCACTTTTAATTCATCGTGTTTGTCATTTTCAGTCTTGTCACTTATAATATTTGTCAAACTCAAGACTTGGGGTCTAAAACCACAAAGTATTTTTATGTGGCCGTCTGGACTAATAAAGGGCTCATAAATAGTTTCATCAAGGTGGCGGTTGTGTGCTTGAATATTATTTTATCAATCAAATCAAAGCAGTTTATATCTGTGCTGCTAAAATGGATCAATCAGTCCCTCTAGAGGGTAATAAGTTGAAGAAGTGTCCGGATACCAACCCATTCCTCTTCGTCGTACTCTTTGTGGTGTGGTATGGAGTCTTGGTGCTTCAGCGACCCACTGTCTCCTCCTTTCACATTATTACACGCCACCGGGCTTTCTGTGACAGGACTGTGGCCCGGTAGTCCTTGGACTGGACTGTGATTCAGGTCCCCACCCTGGCTTTGCTGGTGACACAGCACCGGAGTTTGCTTCTGGCTCTTGGAGACGTACCCGGGCCGGGCCGCGTGCAACGCTAGCAGGGCACTCTTGACCAATTCGTCCTTAAGCGTGTGGACAAATTGCTCCGTCTGCAGCAAACGAAGAAGGAAAGAGATTGGAAAAAAGACAGACAGTGGAAACTACACAACAAATAATAATGGAAGTGCTGAAGAAACAAAGCAGACAGGGTGTGTGAGACAGAGAAGGGCCGTCACGTCGGCGAGGCGGAGTGGGTTTGAAGAAAACACAGAGAAGTATTTACAGAGGAAGTGAAAAGAAACAAGGAAAGTGAACACAGTCCTTCAGTATAAGGAAGATGCTCTCCATTACCTCACCTCAATGGAAGAGGAGAATAACAGCAACAAACAACAAACAATTCAATTACTCCTCCTCCAGCCCTCCTCTCCAAGGAGCCCTCCCCTTCTGATGTCAAATTCACCAGCTACTGTTTGCTGCTGATCATCCTGGAAGCTGCTGCGACTCCCAGGAGGAACTCGGTTACCAAAGCTGTTTCATCACCACAAAAATGCAGCTAAACAAAACACAACAGCCAGAATGCCAAAAGGAGACCTGTGGTGTCTTTGCATACATGGACACGGTTCTTATTTTTCTGCTTCGACCCCCCCTGATGTGCAGAGAGAAACTGCAGGGAGTTCTCCGTCAACCCTAAAGAAAAGCACTGCAGTGTCAAATCTCAGCTCTGAGCCGTGTCCTGCACAGCTTCACAGGCTAGTCCAAACTAGCCAGTGAAGTATTCTCCTTTTTAAGAGACTGGGTGTAAAAGTAACCCAGTGGTTTTTAAGCAAATCGTGGTAACGCTTTATTTGAAGGGGTGTGCATGAGACTGACATGATGCTGTCATAAACATAACGCCACCAGTCATGAAGATGAAGGAGTCTTCGTAAATGTCATTTGGTAAATAATGACACTTTTAATGGAAAGTTGCATTAAAAGTCCATTAAAAAGTGTCAACTTTTCATTATTTGGTAAATAATGAAACTTCTAATGCAAAGTTCCATTAAAACTTGCATTAAAACACCATTAAAAGTGTTAACTTTGCATTTGGTTATGTCATGCCATGTTTATGACAGTGTCATGTCAGTCTTATGCACATCCCTTCAAATAAAGTGTTACTCAAATTGTTATTTCTAAAAATGGGGCTTCTTCCCTGGGTGACAAATCTTTTGGAAATGTGTTGCATCATCACTTCAAAAACAAACAAAAAACTTTTCTATTGAAACCTCAGGAAAAACTGACACATTTTCTCACAAACTGATGTTTCAATGTAGAATTTACATCTTTTTCCTTGAAAATATTTGACATTTACTTCTCCATAGCCAAATATAATTTTTTCTTTATCTGCAACGACTCTACAACTCTAATAGTCTATTTCAAAGAGCATATATTTTATGATGCAGTTTGTCATGAATAAAACATACATTTACTAACTCATGTGAGCCCTGCATTGGTGTTTTTATTAGAGTTGACCATCTGATGACTGCCTAAAAAGAAAGGCAAATGGTAAAGACTCTTAAAAACATAATTACATTTAATGTGTATCCATTTAAACCTAAATTATCTCCATTACTGTAGGTCAATGATGCAACAACTACAGTCTATAAGTAGATCAAATGTGCAATTGTCTGAGAAAAGGCATGTCTGATGGAAAACTGCTGCACATAAATGAGTGAAAGATGAAAAATCCAAACAGCCAAAAGAAGAAAATGGATGTAAAAACTACAACGTTTGGCAAAGATTGGAGATTCAAATCAGGCTGAAATTAAGCTCTGCTTGTCTGACCTTAAAATTAATTTGCAATCTGAGTTCAAGTAGTAGTCACTTCTCTAAAGTGAGTTCACAGAGTAAAATATTGTATTTAAAATTTAAGCTTGATCAGAAGGTCAGAGCACTGGTGATTCGTTGACAATTAATGAGATAAAACCATAATCAACAACCAAGCGGGCCAAATTTTTATGGTTTATTGCAGGAAGTGTAGATAATGTGTTTAAAATTTTAAAAACAGAATTGAAGATATGTTTACTAAGGCCAAAGATAAATGGTGCACATCTCTGCAAAAAATACTTGTTTGTGTAATACATAAGCATCCATCTTTGAAAAGGCTGAAACGCTGAGCATCCCTGAAGATAAAGTGTTGGTTGCCTTTCTAAGAATCTGTTGATCTGATCTGGAACCAGGAGCATCTGAGTCTGAAGTCTGAAAGTGCCTCAGCGCGATCCGACAGTGAAAAAATGTTATCTTTGATCTGGGAAACATAAAAAATCCATTCACCCTCAATGATTTCCCCCTGAAGGATGAGCACATTTGGGCTCTTAAAAATAGAACTCGCTCAGTTCTCTTCTGGTTACTTTGTTTTAGAAACCAGTCAGATCTCAGCTACCTCTTAAGACGGTATATTTCCACACATGTAGATGGATACAGATCAAATCCCACTGGTTCTCTTTTTTCTTTTTAAAGCAGCAAACCAGGAACATGATAACGTTCCAAGGACACAGCTGAAGGCAGGGAAGATTAGTCCGTTCACTGTGATTATCATCAGCGTGACATTATTATCATCATCAACAGAATCATTATTATATAAAGACAAGAAACTTTTTTTTTATACCCAGAGCTAATCAAGAAGTAGAAAGGCACTGACTTACTGGAAACGGTGAATAAGGATAGTCGAGGCAGACCTTGGAAAGATCTTGGAAATAAATTGTTTTACTCTACATGCTGCACTCCTGATTTGGACAAATCTGTATGCTGCAGCTCTGTAAGACTATTTAATAAAAAAATATTAAAACAGTTAACGGTCTTAGTGCAAAACAACACTATAATACAAGTAGTTGCTCGTTCTGAAATGAGACGAAATGATTAGAAAGTGAGACGAGGCAAGCAGCGGTGAATACCAACTCACAGCAATAAAAACAACGAAACACCTTACAGCTACTAAAGGTGTAAAATGCAAATAAGTATACAAACACTAACAGAAAAACATAATCTGTTCCAGTAGAATAAACAGTCTGATCTCTAGAGGAATAAAATTACTTAGGTAAAAGCAATAATGATTTCTTAAACTAATGAATTAAAAACACAGATGGTCAGATAACGGAAAGACACTTCACCGCCGGGAAAACCCATTCCAACTGAAATATGGCAGAGTCATGATCTGGGGTTACATTGCTTGAGATGGAGCAAGACTTGGACAATTTCAAGTTAAAATAATATCCAAGTCCAGATGTGGGATGCTGACAAGAAGACTGAATCTAAAGGTGCTTTAATAGTGTTTTTAAGTCATATTTTGGAGAATTTTATCCAGAAACTATGAATTTTGTAGGAATTTCTGAATAAAGGTTTGTACTGCCAATATTGTGGAAATGATTTCACATTTTTTGCTTGCATTCAGTCTAAAGGCACTGGATTGGGTTTGTATTGTTCAAGATATAGACAGGTTCATCTGAGAAAATGTGGGCAATTTCATGAGGAATTACAAGGTTTTAATTTTTTTAAAGATTTGTTCTAAAGCCATCCATTTTCAAAATGCATCGTAATGGCCAAACCTTCCAGGAGTCTGTGCTGGACTTAGAACCCGTTGATAACTGCTTGCAGTTCTGTTTGCTTCAGAGTTTGCACAATACAGATATTTAGTCTCAACATGTGTTTTTGCAGGACAGCCTCAAAATGCTACCAAACTAGCTTAATGTTTTAGGTGGAATCTCAGAAGACTCTGCCTAACATCATCATTTGTATGTAAAGACATGTCAGACTCAGCACACAGCTTCAGTCTTAAAAAAACTAATGTCTTGTAACTGCTGATGGTAGTTTCATACTAAGCAGTTTGCTGAAGTGCCAGGCTAATGTTAGCATGTTGAATCCTTTAATCTCCATGGCAACCATTCAGCTGTGCAAAACAGCCGCAGCGTTTTGCCCGTGTTTTGCCCGAGCTGTGCCTCAAAGGAGCCGTGCCTTCGAGGCACAGATCCTCCTCAGAGCTGCATACAGAGCAGCTCTCCCCCACGACTCTCCTACTCAGCTCCTTCAGACTAGCAGCAGCAGTTAGGAAACACCTGGTGGAACTGTGCATATGCTGAGCTCATTATAGGAGTTACTTCTCAGTGTAACGCTGGTAAAAACGTTGCTAAAGGTTTAACAAAAGAGCAATGTTGAGATGACTTCCTCAAAGTGGAGTTTCAAACAGAGCAGGAGTTTTTAAAGAGACAGAGGCTCAATTTCAAAGCAGTATAATATGAAGTCAAATTCCTTTCAAGTCACATTTGATATGCAGAGCAACTGAAGGTGACACGGTTGAGTTGATTATGCTATAAAATGATGCAGAAAAACACCGCCCCTTTAAGCGAAGCACATAATTAAGTTCAAAGCAATTTTCATTTTCATCCCACTCAACATAAATAGAAACCTTTATGACATTTATGAGACTCCTTTCACAAGAACATGGTGGAACCTTTACACTTGTTGTTGATTCATGGACTTTACAAGAAACAAGTAAAAACTGGAAGCTTTGAATTTCTCTCCATCAACTCGCAGAGAAAGATTTAATTAAAATGAATCGGTTATTTATTTGACCACCTAACAGGAAACAAAAACCCGTATTTGTGGTTCATTAAAACATTCCAGATTTTACATGTTTACAAAGCTGCACCACTCAAAGCCTCTGCACACTGTTTCAGGCATGTGTCTGCATAAAAATGTTTGTGTGCTGCTCCTTCATCATGGACTTTGGGATTTGAAGAGAGAAAGAGAGAAAGAGAGATGTCATCATCAGCTTTCTGACAAACACACAAACCCACTCCCACCTCCCGCTGCTTCACACACAAACACCGACAAACCCAGCTTGAGATTTTAATCAGCGCGCGGCCCTCCTTGTGCTGACCAGGCCAGGGGCTTGCTCGGCCAGCGTATGCGTGTCTAATCAAGGATGAGAGGAAGCGGTGACAGAGCGAATGTACCAATTAAGGAGGCTGATTGGGCTCTGTTCCACTGTGGCACAAACAATCTCTCCCACTACAGATTGCAATCTGACAGCACCAGATGTAATTCATTAATTATACTGATAAAAATGCTCTAGCTCCATAAACCACCATACCGCACATGCATATGTTTTGTTTTTTCTTTTTTTTGAGGGGGGAGATCATCTATTGAACTGAAACATTAAAAATCGTTTGTGGAAAATTTTACATTTTTGAGTATCTTATTTTAAAAAAAAAAAAAAATACTGTTGGCAGAAAAGTGCAGCTTGTGTGAAATCACCATTAAAAATTTTTTAATTGTGTTTTTAGGTCACATTGTGGCAAGGGCGTAGGTTCGGTCTAAGTTTTGGTGGGGACCTTGACACCCAACCCCCCGCGAGCACAGTGAAATGACCAAGAGCACGGAACGGAAGGGGGGGGGGGAAACCACATTGGCTTAATAACCCCTCCCCCCAACCATAACCATATCATACATCTTGTGTATACAACCAGATACAGTCATACTCAGCAGATCAGTTCAAGAACACTTTACTTTTTCCTTTACAAAATTCAGCAAACGTTACAAGTAAGATCAAAAGAAATATCCTTTGGATACAGCGAACACAATTGCAGATAAGAAGAAATCAATAATAAAATAAAATAATATATTGCACTAACAAAAAAAATAAACATGAATTCAGACATGAACAGAATTTAGCACATTCAGTGCTGACCTTACTAAACACCGGACTTTACAACAAATGCGTTGCGTGATAGATATCTAACTTATGGGTCCACTCACTGTACTTACAGCTGACGTAGCGAAATAACTTCTAATGTCTCCTTTTCTTTTTTGGTGGCGACATGGTCTCGGAGACTCAGAAGGAGACACGTGTGCCCAGCTAGCCGCCGCCTTTTGTAGCTAATCAAAGAACGTCCGACGATTCAACTGACTCCCCCTCCCCCCACCCCCCCCGACACGGTCTCGGAGGCTCATAATAAATGTCAAACTAAGAAGCTTCCGTTCCGCACCGCCTGTTGCTGCTAATCAAAGATCGTAGATCCACGTTCTTTGAGCCAATATGGCAAAAATTGGTCGGGACTTTTTCATATCCCGTGAATACTGGTCGGGACATGTCCCTACCGTCCCTACCCAAACCTACGCCTATGCATTGTGGGGATTTTATCCATAAGCTATGAATTTCATAGGAATTTCTCAATTCAGGTTTGTTCTTCCAAGACTGTGGAAATGGCATTTATTCTTTTTTTGGTTGCATTCAGTCTAAGGGCTTTGGATTGGGTTTGTGTTACTCCAGATATGGACAGAGTTGTCTGAGAAAATTTGGAAAGTTTAATGAGAAATCATAGATTAAAAAAAAATTCATTTCAATATCATCCATTGGCAAAATACATTGCAGTAGCCAAACTTTCCAGGAGTCAGTGCTGTCCTACAAATTCCCAACTTGTTCTTTTACCTAAGATTTCTATTAAACAGGAACTAAAATAATTATTCATGGAAACCTTTACATTTGTCTTCTTTTCAACACAAACTGCTGGTAGAAAAGTGTAGCTTGTATAAAATCCCTTTGTGGGCCTCCAGTGAAACGGCTTGCACCAACATAATCCACAGTCGACATTTAAACACCACCATTAAAATGAATGTTTACAGATTTTAAAAAAGAGGTATGAATGCAAATGAATTTTGACAAACTTAATCTCAAGAGTCTGTCTGTTGCTGTGGATTGAGATGGAGAGCAATGAAGAGGTAGCTGAGACGCAGGTGAAGGAAGATGGGAGATTTAGCTGCTGGCTCACCTTGTCGGAAAGGCTCTTGAGTGCATCCTTGAGTCCAGAGGAGGAGTGTTCAAGGGCAGCCTGGAGGAGCTGGTCAGCCAAGCTCGTGATGAGGGGCTGGAGGAGACTCACGGTGCTGAGTACCTCCTGGGCTTTGGCTGTGTGCTGAGGGGAGTAGTAGATACACTGGTAGGCAGTGCTAAAGCTGAGATACAAGAGAAAAAAAAAAAGCACAAAAAATTAATATTTGAACAGTCAAACTACAGCTGCATGGCTATACACTGAAAAAAACATGAACTTTGGAAAGATATATGAGATTAGCCCAATTTTTAAATTAAGGCTGCTGTGATGTAAGATTTAAAGTCATGAGAAATTAGGACACCCCATTAAATATGTATTTCTTTATTAGGAAGAGCTCATATGTTGACGTCTAATGATTTAACAGCACTTAAAGAACAAAAGTTCTGCCACTTAATAAGTAAAAGCTTTTCAGCTGAGGGAAAACTAAAGACACACTGCCGCTAACAGGCTACAATAACTAATAATTTTCTTTGGTTATAGTGTTCTATAGTTAGTTCTTATTTGATATTGTGAAATAGGTGCTATTTTTGCAATAAGTGGGAAGCTGTGCATTATTTGCATATTAATAATAAATACCGGTAATAATAACAAGCTTAAGTGAGGCACTTAATTTTGCCATCTGCCAGTCTGATATTTTTCTAAAGACAGTTTCTCCCACTCCACACTCTTTAGCTGTGACATGGCTTTTCTTTATATTATCATTATTTCCAGCCTGTTTCAACCCGGCAGCATCACAGTGAGATCAGTATCTGGGCTTTGACTCCATTTCCCAATGCTCAGCCAGTGTTTGATGGATTAACTGCTATGTTTTGGATAAATGTCATATCGCAGCGTTCAGTTAAGTTCAGATTTATTTATTTAGTTTTATTTTTCACCCTTCAGATCCTTCTGATACATGATATATTCATGGTAAGTTAGGCAGATCCTACATATCATCCCAAACCACAACACTTCCACCTCCATATCTCCCAGCTGGAGTTCGATTCTTTTAATGGAGCACTGTATTCGATTTGTGTGCAAAACATTAAATTTCATCTGTCCAAAGAACAGTACTCCATTAGTTTTTTTGTCTGCTTTCTGTCTGGCAGCCTATCATTGGGCCAAATGTTTTTTTTTTTTTTAGAGAATAGTCTGTTTCTGATTTTACAGGCATCCACTTTCATACTAAAATTAGCAAGAGTCTGCTGAAGGTCCTATGATCACAATTTCGGGTTTTTGGAGACCACGAATGTTGGTAGTTGTTTTGAATGTCCCCATTTGCTAGACTGTTTTGCAGACAGTGGAAAGAATGATTTAAAATTGCTTTGAGTTCTCCCTTAATCCCTTTTGTCTCTTGGAAAAATACAATTACAGTGTCGTAATTATTTAACTTTACATTTCTTGCTCCTATGTTGGCTTGCAACACGCAGTGAGCACTCAAAACTTGTAAAAACATTTAAATATTTCCTCCATTCCAAGTGAGACAAATGAAGGAACAGAATAATTTGTCATGCAAGAGATTTTCTTTTTTCAACAATTATTCAGGCCGACTTTTCTCTGAGTTTTTCTATTTCTCTTCCAGGCATGACTGTGGTTAGAAGATGTCTGTAGGTGAAAGAAATGCACAGTAGAGCTGTGAAATTACACAGTAAATTGCTTTGAGTTTCACATTTGGTTGTGTTACGGTTCAAAGCAGCTCAAAACAAAACCATAAATGTATTACTCCAAACACTGATTTTAACATTAACACTAGCAATACTATTTGCATACAAGTTCAAGATATAAAAATATCAAGGTTATCCTTTTTAGACAACACAAACTCTTATCAGTAAAAGGGATATATAATGTCTATATATACACTCATAGTGTTTAAGTGCTAGAATCGCCACTTATAAACTCATTTGCTGAGAAATAGGGGTCTTTGTTCTTGAACTAAAAATGTAGGTTGTTGAGCAGAAGGACCAGGTTGAATCAGGAACAGTAGTTATATGTGTGAGAGGAATTAAATCAGAGAGAAGTGGAAAACATTTTACAGGATGAGCAGAGGATATCTGCAACCAAGCAGGTGTGAATAAGAATTTGGAGTCAAAGGTCAGCATCTGAGAATGAAAATACAGAATTTTACTTTTAAACTGACATTTAAGGTTTCCAATACCTAAAAGAAATCAATTCACCCATATTGATTTATTTGAGTTTATTCCATCCAATAGGTAGCAGATTTAGCTCAAATCAAATATCCTACACTACAATTCAATACAATAATAATGAAACTCAAAATTTCATTACCAATAACATAAATATCTTCACTTAAATGTGAAAGCCATAATTTAATTCTGCATTTTTTTTAAAAAGTTTTTGTTTCACAAACCAAACTGTGATATGTTAGATTTGCAGTCAGACATTTGTCCAGAATCAGTGAGTATTCTGCATGACAGGAGTCAGTGTTTATCCATGAAACAGAAAGTAATCCAGTCATAAGATTCGAAGCATAAACAAATGATATCTGGAGCTGCTCAGTGTGTTGGACTCATGTAAACGTCACAGCAAAGTTTTTTTTTCTGGATGCATTTTATCATCAGTTTAGAGGAACAGCTTCACAGCCTAAACTGTCAAAGTTGGACCTACCAGCTCATTTGCATTCTATAAATAACGAATCCCTTTCCAGGCTAATCAAACATCCTCCTCTGCTCACGTTCCTGTGGCTTTCAATGAGTTTTCTCTTACTTCTTTTTGTCTGATGTGATGTAGAGTGGTGCAGCCATTTGTAACCTCCCCCCCAGGCTCGGCTAAAGTCAACTTCTCCAGGCTTTATGTAGGTCAGAACCCAGAGTCAGATCTAAACCTGGATCCTAAAGTTGGAGCTAAACATTTTGCATGTGAATCTGCCTTTTGAGGAACAGCCTTACCGTGTGCGTTGATATGCATCAAAATTTTCAAGGTCAAAGTGAATGTTGGCCATGAAATACGTCTTCGGTAAGCTAATTTTAAAATTCTGGCCTTGTCGTTTTGCCTAATGAGGCCCCTGGAGAACGACCACCCAGAAAGTTGAAGGTAATCAAAGCAATTATTGAGTGAAAGTAAAACATGGTGCGGTCACTGACACAGAAGACCATCTTTTCTACAAGACCACTTCTAATTTACCCATACCTTAAAGCGATTGATTTCCACCAAAGACACCTTCAAAAATGTAAAGAACAGTAAAATCCATTTTACTTTGCTTCATCCCTTGTGTGTTTACACTGATAAAAGACCATAAACGATCTTCCACAGGAGAAAAAAAGCTTCAAAAAGAAGCAAAGGAGAGAGCAGTTGCTGTACTCCGATTCAATAACAGCACTGTTGATTCATAAGTACAAATCCAATCCCATTAGGAAACATATGCAGACGGTAATGAATGCGAGAACCTGCCACCTGATGCTAAAAGGACAGAATTGATCCCTTCCAAGGCTGGCTTTGGCAGGGAAATTTAATTGCCTCATCAGGGTTGTTGTAAGTCCAAACAGGTCAACAAAGATTGCAAAGTGAGCGAAGGCAAAACAGCATAAATCTGTGAATGCAAATTTGATAAGAGGCCAGGGGGGTTGCACATTTCATTTGAAGCCCTGGGTATGTTTCCATCTCCAGCATATTTAAAGGCTTCTGTTCTGTGTGTCACGTTTTTAAACACCGTGCCAAGACAGAAAGCTGCAATATAATCCAGATACAATAACCCTGCAGTAATTATTGCTTATGTAAGAGGTAAATATTTATGTTTTATTGAAGATGTGACAGAGAGACGATTGGACTGCTGAGAAATATTAGATCCTGGTACCGCCGAGCTAAGAGGGAGGACAATTTTCCAAGAAAACAATATTGATGCTTGCCTGACTCGTCTTAATGTTAAATGATCACCTTTATTTGTTAGTTGTTACAAAAATGAAAATGACATTGAAATTATTCAAAGATTAGAAACAAGAGATGTTTTTGTTTCATTTTTATTTACTCCTGCCTCTGTTCACAATGACTTTGGAAATGTTAACGTAATTAGACTTTGTAACATGAATACAAATCATTTATCTAGTCAACAACTTGTCTGGTTGCTACATGAACGAGACCTCAAAGAGTTATTAGTTTAGATTTTTAATAAAAACCTCTAGAGACTCAAATTTGTGACCAATCTGTCATGATTTGTAGTGACAAAGGAACCAAACAGAAGCAGGAGGCAGACACAGCCATGTGGAGAACATGTTGTAGAGAATCCAACATCAGCGGCACTGAAGGATGTGCTACCTCACACAAACTCGAGGCCCGGGGGCCAAATCCAGCCCGCCATAGTTTCTGATGTGGCCCTCCAGACTCCAGAGGAAAGCAGAACCATCAAGGTAACAGCAGTTTGCTTAAATGTTATTTTATCAAACAAATCAAAGCTATTTATCTCTTTACTGCTAAATTACATCAATCAGTACCTCCAGTTTTTCAAAATAAACAGTTCATGTTAATTCATAATTGTGAGTTTATCAAAAATTTTCTTCAAAAACTGAGAAAAATATAGGGCTCCCACCTGCAGGGGGCAGTATTTGTCATTTCTACTACACTGCTGCCCCAACCTGACTTGATATCAAATTACTGTCTAATTGATGTGAAGAGAGAAAAAAAGTCACATTTAACGTCATACATAAGTGCAAATATTGCAAAATTGCAAATATTTCTGAAGTACGTAGCAAAATCTGTAATTTCAATGAAAATCACAAAAGCAAGGACTGTCATGAATTGTGGTTTGTGTGAAGTGGTGAGGAATGAACGCAGAGACCCAGGTCGTGAAGGAAATGATGATGATTTTAATGATGAAAAGCTCTAAACAGTCCAACACAGGCGGCACAGCAGAGTTTAGCGCACAGCTAATTACCGGTAGCAACTGATAACAGAGGACTGAAAACGAGAGCTGACGCTAACCAGGACTTAACAGTTCAACTGGAGAGCAGAACGTGAGACACAACAACTGACTTCCTACGTACACGACGAGGATCCGACAAGAGACAGAGACAACAGGTGGGACTAAATACACTGGGAGGGTAATCAAAGAAACGGCAGAGACTCACAGGGGAACAGACTAATAAACACAGAAAAACCTCAACAGATCATGACAAGGACGTAATCACTGTGGAA